CTCCTTGGCCTCTAATTGCTCCTGACTCAAGAGACTTCCTTTACCGGTTAACCACTATCTTGTAGTTTTAGTTTGATCTTTGTTGTCCTGTCCATATCTCACGATGACCCTTTGTGTCTATGTTGCTTGTGCTTGTACTGTTCGCCCTACGGTTTTGTTTGATGTACCGTGTAGTGGTGATGAAATATTCTGCATCATCTATTATTCATACTCCAACTCTTCCCGTGCCTAATTTGTGTTTTGGTGTGTGTTCTGTTTTATGTATGAGCTTCACTGTTGATGGCGCTCTTCATCCACGCCTAATTAAAGTCTGCACACTGTTGACTCCATGCATCCTGAGCGTTTACAAGACCTGGGACGTGCATCATCTGACGAGGCAACTTTTGAGCGACTTTTTATCTGGGCTTTCACGAATCATGCACTGTTCCATTCCACGCACCATCCATCACTGTAATCACTATTTAGGATAAGAATAAGAGGTCCTTTATTCTCCCACAGTGGGGAACTATATCAATGTTAAGCGCACAAACAGGACAGTAGCAAGAGCACACAAAAATATCCAATAAGTAGCTACTAATTTTCTATTAGCTAGCTATTTTTATATTCATCTATATATTATGCGAAGTTAAATAGATATAGACAGGATAATAAGTAATAAAGTGACATTCATGGACATTCTGCAGTATTTCACATTCATATTTTGAATTTAGTTTTAACGTACGCACTTTATCAACGATCACATTTTTGTTCCAAGATTTAAGCCTGGTAACTGTCTGCGAGCAAGCGTGGTTTACATTATTCAATTTTCTACAACATTTTAATTTTTGTAAACCGATATCACAACATAGTTATCTCAGAGGACACAGATCAAGAATTTCCAAACCGTTCAAGAGAAGAAGAGAATTATTTCAAAAACCTACATACACAAAATACACTAAAAAATATAGAAATAAAACAAAAAAAATTTCTGTGGAGAGAAACTTTTCATTTTTTTATTTGTGAAACAACAAGTAGACCATTTAACTACAAGACACCATCCTTACACAATTCACAATCGTTCACTCTTCAAAAGTATGTAAAATTAGTAATGCACTTCCTGTTGCCTCCATGTCCATCTTACAGCAACACAAATGATCACTCGCAACCACTTGCTCTGGGTATGTCCGGATCTCTGTTTGTAACATTTTAGTCATACTACCCCACATTTTTCTTCTTCTGAATGGATTTATCTCAATTTAAAAATGCCTGTACCAATCAAATTATCTTTCCATTGATGCTGTGGTGGTTGGCGTCACGTCTTAATAGCACTAACCATTTGCGAAGGTCTCTGCTCTCTGTCCCTGTTTTGACTCAGAGCTGTCCTGTACAAAAAAGCCTTCTGGCCCCAGAGAATATATATATTAAAATGTCATGAAGTGGAAGTAAAAAACCAGCCATGTCTGTCACAAGGCTCATGTAGAGGTTATAGAGGGATGAAGTCTTTGAACTTCTGAAAGTCTGTGATCAGTATCGAACAACGCTTACCGGTTGGTCCTGTACGAGGGTGGCTTCTAAAAAACAAGAACGTGAGAAAAGTCTTGAAAACTTTATTTTAGATTTAAAATAAATCATGATGTTTATTTACAGTTATGCTTGAAGAAGGCATACAAACAGAGCATAGGGCTCACACAGGTTTTTTTTTATGATATTAAAGCTGAATATTTTAACTTTAAAGTCAAAATAGATATGAGGATTAAAGTGGTGTTACTAAAACCGTTCCTGACTTTCGAGATATCTGTCAGTGTCTATTCCCTTTGACTTTGAGCTGAAATTATGTCTGACTTAATCTGATAGGGCCCTGGCAAAACAAAAATCGGTTATCTATGCTTCGTTATGTAAGTTTGTTTCCTTGCCGATGTAGTAGCTTAACTAGCTTCAACTCTTGGGTGTAGGCTAGTAATTTCAAATCAAATCGTTTTCTATCACTTAAAATGACACCAAAAATATCACAATTCCACCCACCACTAAAGCTCTGTAATTCCTGTATTTTTAATTCCTACCCAGAGTGGCTCAATATTCTAATAAAAAAATGGAAAGCCAGTTTTTGTTTTTAGGTTTTTTTTTTACAATATATTTCCCTTTCCTTTTTAAACTTACTCCCTGTAAACATTCACACAGACGAAAGGAAGAAAATTAAAAAGGAAAAAAAAGAAATACCGACATCACATTCCAAAACTAATTTCAGTTCATACCCCTGGGAGGGTCTCACTCAGAATATATTGTCCAAAAAGGTACCCTCCTATGACTTTGAGACCTCTGTAGACAGCTCATCCAAGAGTGGGTTCCAGCAGAACCCTATTTAAGCACGTTTATTTGACAATATTGGGTTCACATAATCACTAACACTGAGTTAAAAGAGGGTCAGTTATCATTCATAATCAACAACAATCACATCTCTGACTGGTGTCCAACTTCAAGCAACAGAAAATATACACGTATATGTTTGGGAACTCTTGTTTACGGACAGCCATTTTTAAAAAATATCTTGGAGAGGAAGAAGCCGACGCATGATGTCAACACAGACCTGTAACTTGTTTCTTTTGCAGGGTTCCCACAGTCCTCCAGAAACAACGATAAGATACCATCCATAGACTCAGCAGGACCAGGCATCGGCGAGACAGCCAACCCCTTCAACCAGGCTCAGGACAAACCCTCGCCGGGCTTACTAGACACAATTCACTTTTTCTTTAGCTGCCGTGAGATATTGTTAACTTTCAATTGTTACATTCTGTAGTCGATGGTACTAAAAGGTTTTGAATACTCAAGCACACGCAAAAAATGATTCAAAGACATAAGTAAAAAATTGCTCAATATCTCGCCATATTTATGCTTTCGATTCAAGCACATTTTGACGGCCAATGAGTCCAAGCCAAATTTATCTTGTTTTTAAAAGATACAAAAATGTCTCCCCTTTTTGAAGGAGAAAATAAAGCCAACAGATCTTGAAATGGACGAATGACCTTCTCCCATTGGCATATCATGTTGTTAAACCGTCATACTGGCCTCAAAAAAAGATGAAAAACACATGATCAAGCAATTATCACCTCATATTTTATCATTTTTTATTGGCAAAAACTAACTGAAGTGACTACACTGGCCAGTCATTTCAAATTGCTTATTCAATGTAATTTTTGTTATCATTTGTACTCACTGGCGATTAAGTCCATATTATTATTCCAGAGTTTCATAGAAAAATCACATTTCTACAATGTCCTGTATTTATATTCCTGTCATTTCTTCTACTGACCATCGTACTAATTTTGTGGGTAATTCCTATCAGACATCCTCTTTTACGTGTTGCAAACAGGTAAGTATACTAATATACCATGCTGTTAAGAATAGCTGTTTTATTGGGGTTATTTGTTCTGCATTCAAAACTAGTAGGATATTCACATGCCGACATAAGACCGGAGAGAATGATGACGACCGGTGAGACTTAACGGTTTAAGTTATTTGCTACAGCTATTGTTCCTTGGTTATTTTTGTCCTTGAAGTGAGTTACACATACTATGGTTATATACTGTGCCTATGGACTTGGTTCTGTAAGGAAGAAGAATAAAAGGCAGAAACTGTTTTTTCTACATTTACTACATTTACTACACATGCTAGAGTATAGAAGGCTATTCTTTCTTCTATAAAGCATTCCTTGACTGCTTTTGTGGAAGTGGGTCAACACCTACGTCATTGAGATGAGGCAGTAATAAAACATTACGGACACAAGGTTTAATAAGAGACATCAAAGCAATAGTAAAAGTGCATACAAATATCTCACAGCACACTACTGTACCGGTGAAGCCACAGGTCAAGAATGTTATTGCTTGCTTAAAAAATTTTTTAAGCCAAAGCTAAAGCAAAAATGTGGCTACAATTTTAAATTACATGCCTCCCAAATTCAGTGATAAAACAGGCTTTGTTTTGATGGGAAGACTTATCACACCATAGATTTCAGTAACTAAAACCATGCAGGTATGCCCATTGTAAAATAAAGTGTTACTTGAAAGACTGGGGGTTTTACATATGGAGGCAAAACACATTAGAAAAATGATCAAAAGCAGAAACCACCAGACAGTCGAGAAAATGCCATCTTTTATTCACAGCACTGACTATAGTCGTTTATAAACTCCGTGCAGAAGTGTGGGAACAAACAATGACCATCAACACCAAAAAGTCAATTCATACTTGTTAAATTAACCTTTTTTGGAAGACAGAAGTGCAAACGTTCTATGGAGGTTCTCAACAGACGTTATTTATACATATTTGTTGGACTTTACCCGTTTACCGCATGGTGAATTGCAGCCAGCGCACGAAGAATCCCCAGGAAAAGAAAATGGCTAGTTGTTTTTTTATTATTACAAGACCCGTAAACTGTGCTCTTTACGCACTCGACTCAATAAGTTGCTATATTAGCCCACGAAATAGGCCTAAATCGCGTTCTCCCGAGTCTAATATAGCGTACTCCCGAGTGTGCACTACCTAAGCTAATCATGGCAGGGCTTGATTTTAGTGCCTGATGATGGGAAGACCTCCTGGGAACCCCCGGTACCACAATGCTGCGTCTGATTATTTGTCCTTAGGCAAGATTTTTCGCCCACATTAAATGAGTCTGGTGTTAATGTGAGAAAGGTTGGGCAAAGGGGCCATTGGCACATTACTGGTTTGCCTCGCTTCCGTTCGTGTGCCCCCGGGCAGCTGTGGCTTTAGTATTAGTTAATCACCCGCTGTGCATAGAGTGAATGAACAATGACATTGAGCGTCTTTGAGAGAAATAAAATCGTCTTCTTCTTCTTCTACTGATTTTTTTTATTATAATATTATTAATCACAAAGTCCCGTGCGAACCGTCCCAAAGCGCTCCGGGTGCACAGACCATCGCTGGGATGTGGGGAGTGGGAGACCTCCGAACGCCGACCCAGCATCAATAACTAAGTGGCCTGATAAATTATGTAGCCCCCTCATACCTCCATGCGCCCTGACCCTCTGGCCAAGGACCCGTGGGCCTGTGTTGGTGCCCCAATAAAAGAACTCAATTTGTCAAAGCTGTTATACGTTAGTGACAATCTCTGGGATGTTTTGAATCTAGGGGTTTGAGCTGCGTGGCACAGCCGACTTCTGAACGTAATTAGTAAAGGACTTATTTACTGAGTCGAGAAGTGGATTTCTTCTTTGCAATCAAAGTTTATCATTTAAAAATACGATGCCATGGGAAGATGTGTAATCGCTGTGTTTGTGCTAAAAATCAATTCGGCAAATCAACGGCACCTTTAGCTCTGAGTTTTAGCTTTAATTTTCTGGCAATTTAGTTTTTGGGGAATCAATACTAAATGACATTTTTCTCACAGCACACCCCTGAGTAGTGACTTGATTAAAAGTTTTGCATCGGACTGAAATAAAGCCGTAATCAACTAAAGCCAAGGTGCCTTAACTATTTGCTTACAATCTGCTGTCGTTCTGGGACACCAGCCACAGTGGGGCGGCTGTTAAAGTGCTCTAATCCTAACCTCGCCTGGAGTCCTGTCTTGTCCTTGTCTTTATCTCCTTCTTGAATTTCCATTATATCTCTCAGAGTGTCCTATATTTAGTAAAAGATTTCAGACAACACTTTTTGCATCATTATAGTAGTAAAATATGTTGTAATTGGCATAGGTAATTTCCAACCAAATGATGTTCTTTAACTTTAGTATGATTCTATACTGACTTAAACCTAATCCAAATCTACATAATAGCCCTCACCTGAGGCTCTAACAGTTCAGGAACTGCTCTCGATACTTGAAATAAATCATGCTCTGATCTTTCAATTTCCTATAATAAAGAAAAACAGAGGAGAAAATATTGAATTAGAATCTACAGTGAGTAGCTCACTACATTGTTTGACATATACGATCAATCTCTAAAAACAATTCATAGTCCCATGCATACCTACAAAATTCCAACCTCACCTGATGCACTGAAGGGCCTGTTGCTTCTACCTCAACATTCCCTATATTGTTCTCTCTTGTTGGTTGAGTTTCCTATGTATGTTAACAGAAGATTAATCATCACAATTCATAATTTGCTATTACTTGTGCTTTCTCTTACTTACTTTCCAACTGTTAAAAAAGCTCTTGATATCTTTTATCTTTTTTTGTGGAGGTGGCATTTTTTCTAAATTATATAAGAAGGTATAGACAATCAAAAACAGACATTCATATACATGAACTGCAGAATCATTTATATAACTTGGCCAATGTCAAAAGTTACATAGTATTTCTCAATACAATGAGTTAACAAGAGTTTGGCAATAAGTAACAGTGTGGATTTTTCTATATATTTTTTTTTTTATTCCACTCTCAACCCAAAAAGGCAAGTAATGACTCACAGGGCTCTCAAGTATGCAAAATAAAAACTTAAATGACCTGTTGTGGTGTGTTTTGCGCACAACCAGCATGCATCGTTAACGCAATGGAAAATTTACGTATCCGAGCTTTAATTTCGGGAGCGCTGGTTGCGCTTTGGGAAGAGTCAGGGGAGAGACATGTCAGAGACACAGGGGAGAAACGGGGGAGATACGAGGGAGACCCGCACTTGCAACATGGTTCTGTCTGCATATGGTCCGAGCTCGGTACCATGTTAGAGCTGTGCTTTCACTGAGCGCCGCGGCTGTCATTACAAAGCGGCAGCAGCTGCACCAGGACGTGCACATTCGAGTGCATCTCTTGAATGTGCTTATAGCAAATAACAGCAAGTGCCCGCTGTCACACATTTCACAGAAATTACATTATCAGCAGATAAAGGTTGTAAATCGTGGATCCGTGGAATATTTTCATCCCTAGTTTATCCTGATTCACACAACACACCCACTTATACATTTTGAATAGTAAGAGCACAATAAGTATTTTCTCAGCCTTTCAACCAACCTGTTTCTTTATTGGAGCCAGTTCTGTTCTGTCTCTGTGCCGTGTGAGCTCCTCGGAACATTAAACAGTGCGCTGACAGATTAGAAATAACGTAAGTACTTTGAATGGTAATAGATCTACAGTACTTTCCTCTGATTACTCACGTGCTACAACGCTCAGGGAACGAAAAAAAAAACACTTGCTTCACGCTGGCTAACTTTTAAAAATTAAACAGTCGCTCAGTGCTTCAGTTTGGCGCTGAAGAAGACAGCCAATCACTGCAGAGAACGGAACGGGTCACGTGCTGCTGCTGCTGCTGTTGCTCTGGAGGCGAGGAGGAGGCGCGACGTGTGCACAAACGGAAGACATGTGTCCCGGACCGTCCGGGTCCCGGGACATCATGTCATTTTGGTGGGGACTTTTTAGTCTTCACCAAATATTGGTGGGGACATGTCCCCATGGTCCCCACGCAAACCTACGCCCTTGGATTAAACAATACTTGGGTGATGTGGGCCAGTCTGTTAAACCGAGCCTTAGAAATCTGGGTGTTATTTTGGACAAGGATATGTCACTAGTTCAACACTGCAAACAGCTGACCAAAAACTGCTTTTTTCAGCTGAGAAACATCTCCAAATGTAAGAAAATGGTGTCACAGAACGACTTGGAGCTCATAATTCATGCCTTTGTGTCTTCTCCTTTAGATTATTGTAATGGTTTGTTTTCATGTCTGAACAAGAAGGAGCTATCACGTCTGCAGTTAGTGCAAAACTCTGCAGCTCGGGTTCTCACGCACAAACAGGAGGAGCACATCACCCCGGTCCTCAAAGCTCTCCACTGGCTGCAGCTGTGTCCTACAGGATACATTTTAAAATATTGGTGCTGACTTTCAGAGCTCTGCATGGTCAGGCTCCCACTTATATCAGCGATCTGATTCAGCCTTACGCCCCCACTCGGGCCCTGAGGTCTGTGGATCACAATCTTTTGATGGTCCCACGCACGCGCTTTCGGACCAGGGGAGACGGTCCTTCCAGGCTGTTGTGCCTAAGCTCTGGAACAATCTTCCGCTCTCTCTGCGGCTGTTGGAGTCTGTTGATTTAATTCAAAGTTCAGCTAAAAACCTATTTATTTGGGCAAGCTTTTACATAATTTTCTTGCGGCTGTTTTAAACCTGTCACTGAGTTGTCTTGGCCATTATATTTACTGTATGAATATTTTCTATTTTCTATATTTGTATTTTATCTGTTTTTACCTGTTTAAACTGTGAAGTGCTTTGTGGCCTTGGTCTGGGAAAGGTGCTGTATAAATAAAGCTTACTTACTTACTTACATAGCGTTTTCCTTGATGGCCGAAAAGTTCAATGTTAGTCTCATCAGACCAGAGCTCCTTCCTCCATACATTTGGGGAGTCTCCCTCATGCCTTTTGGCAAACTCAAAACGTGCCATTTTGTTTTTTGCTGAAAGTAATGTCTTTCTTCTGCCACTCTGCCATAAAGCCCAACTCTATGGAGCGTACGGCTTATTGTGGTCCTATGTACAGATCCTCCAGTCTCTGCTGTGGAACTCTGCAGCTCCTCCAGGGTTACCTTAGGTCTCTGTGCTGCCTCTCTGATTAATGCCCTCCGTGCACGGTCCGTGAGTTTTGGTGGGCGGCCGTCTCTTGGCAGGTTTGCTGTTGTGCCATGTTCTTTCCATTTGGTTATGATAGATTTGATGGTGCTCCTGGGGATCATCACAGATTTGGATATTTGTTTATAACCTAACCCTGACTTGTACTTCTCAACAACACTGTCCCTTACTTGTTTGGAGAGTTCCTTGGTCTTCATGGCAGTGTTTGGTTAGTGGTGCCTCTTGCTTTGGTGTTGCAGCCTCTGAGGCCTTTCAGGTGTATATGTACTGACAGATCATGTGACACTTAAGGTGTGTGTATGTACTGACAGGTCATGTGACACTTAAGGTGTGTGTATGTACTGACAGGTCATGTGACACTTAAAGGTGTGTATATGTACTGACAGGTCATGTGACACTTAAAGGTGTGTATATGTACTGACAGATCATGTGACACTTAAAGGTGTGTATGTACTGACAGATCATGTGACACTTAAAGGTGTGTATGTACTGACAGATCATGTGACACTTAAAGGTGTGTATGTACTGACAGGTCATGTGACACTTAAAGGTGTGTATATGGGCGGCACGGTGGCTGAGTGGATAGCACTCTCGCCTCTCAGCAAGAAGGTCCTGGGTTCGAATCCCGGTTGGACCAGGGCCTTTCTGAGTGGAGTTTGCATGTTCTCCCCGTGTCTGCGTAGGTTTCCTCCGGGTGCTCCGGTTTCCCCTACCACTAAAAATATGTACAATAGGTCTGGCATGTGCCTCCTGTACTGGCACCCCTGCTCCCAAAAATAACCGCTTGTAAACCGCTTTGAGACTCTGATGTGTGAAAAGGCGGTATATAAATAAAGATTACTTTACTTTACTTTACTACTATGTACGGACAGACTGCACACACTGTTTATGTAACTTCTGAAGGTAGTCGGTTGCACCAGAGCTTTTTCTGGGCTTCATAACAAAGGGGGTGAATACTTAAAATAGTTTTATGTATATATTTTCCCATTTCACTTCACCAACTTAGACTATTGTTTTCTGATCCATCACATGACATTCAGATTAAAAAAACATTGAACTAAAGGCTGTAATGTAACAAAATAGGTAAAAAGCCAGGGGGTGAATACTTTTGCAAGGCACTGTAAACCTCTGCACCTTGAGGTGTTGTTATGGTCCTCTGGTCCCTCTGGTGTTGTTACGGTCCTCTCTTCTCCGCAGGTTCACCAGTGTGCGTGTCACGGCTAAGTACCATGGGATAAAGCTGGAGTACCAGGAGCACCGGCACGTGGCCCTGAACCTCCTCAATACCATCAAGACCAAACTGAAGCTGTGGAGGAGGCCCTACCTCTCCTCTGAAGGAGTGCGCCTCCTCCTGCAGGAGTGGCATGTGAGTCCAGGGGGGAGAGGAGGAGAGAGAGGCGAGGGGAGAGGAGAGGAGAAGAGAGGAGAAGAGAGAGGAGAGGAGAGGAGAGAGAGGCGAGGGGAGAGGAGAGGAGAAGAGAGGAGAAGAGAGAGGAGAGGAGAGGAGAGAGGAGAGGAGAGAGAAGGAGAGAGAAGGAGAGAGCGAGGAGAGAGAGGAGAGAGAGGAGAGAGAAGGAGAGAGAAGGAGAGAGAAGGAGAGAGAGAGAAGAGAGGAGGGGAGGAAAGGGGGGGAGAGGAGGGGAGGAGACGAGAGGAGATGGGGGGAGGAGAGGGGAGAGGAGAGGAGAGGAGTGAAGAGGGGAGGAGAGGGGAGGAGAGGAGGGGGGGGGGGAGGAGAGGAGAGGGGAGGAGAGGAGGGGGGGAGGAGAGGAGAGGGGAGGAGAGGAGAGGAGAAGGAGGAGAGGAGAGGAGGGAGGAGAGGAGAGGAGAGGAGAAGGAGGAGAGGAGAGGAGAGGGGAGAAGAGAGGAGAGGGGGGGAGAGGAGAGGAGAGGAGTGGGGAGGAGAGGGGAGGAGAGGAGGAGGAGGAGAGGAGAGGGGAGGTGAGGGGGGAGAGGAGAGGAGAAGAGAAGGAGGAGAGGGGAGGAGAGAGGAGAGGGGGGGAGAGGAGAGGAGAGGAGTGGAGAGGGGAGGAGAGGAGAGGGGAGGAGAGAGGAGGAGAGGAGAGAAGAGGAGAGATGTCTCTGATGTCTCTCTGATGTCTCTGATGTCTCCCTGATGTCTCTGATGTCTCTCTGATGTCTCTCTGATGTCTCTGATGTCTCTGATGTGTCTGATGTGTCTGATGTCCCTGATGTCTCTGATGTCTCTCTAATGTCTCTGATGTCTCTCTGATGTCTCTCTGATGTCTCTCTGATGTCTCTGATGTCTCTGATGTCTCTCTGATGTCTCTCTGATGTCCCTGATGTCTCTGATGTCTCTCTGATGTCTCTGATGTCTCTGATGTCTCTCTGATGTCTCTCTGATGTCTCTGATGTCTCTGATGTCTCCCTGATGTCTCTCTGATGTCTCTCTGATGTCTCTGATGTCTCTCTGATGTCTCTCTGATGTCTCTGATGTCTCTGATGTCTCTGATGTCTCTCTGATGTCTCTCTGATGTCTCTGATGTCTCTCTGATGTCTCCTTGATATCTCTGATGTCTCCCTGATGTCTCTCTGATGTCTCTGATGTCCCTGATGTCTCCCCGATGTCTCTCTGATGTCTCTCTGATGTCTCTGATGTCTCTCTGATGTCTCTGATGTCTCTCTGATGTTTCTCTGATGTCTCTGATGTCTCTGATGTCCCTGATGTCTCTCTGATGTCTCTCTGATGTCTCCCTGATGTCTCTCTGATGTCTCTGATGTCCCTGATGTCTCTGATGTCCCTGATGTCTCTCTGATGTCTCTCTGATGTCTTTGATGTCTCTGATGTCTTTGATGTCTCCCTGATGTCCCTGATATGTCTCTGATGTCTCCCTGATGTCTCTCTGATGTCTCTCTGATGTCTCTGATGTCTCTCTGATGTCTTTGATGTCTCCCTGATGTCCCTGATATGTCTCTGATGTCTCCCTGATGTCTCTCTGATGTCTCTCTGATGTCTCTGATGTCTCTCTGATGTCTCTCTGATGTCTCTCTGATGTCTCTCTGATGTCTCTGATGTCTCTCTGATGTCTCTCTGATGTCTCTGATGTCTCTGATGTCTCTCTGATGTCTTTCTGATGTCTCTGATGTCTCACTGATGTCTCTGATGTCTCTCTGATGTCTCTCTGATGTCTCTGATGTCTCTGATGTCTCTCTGATGTCTTTGATGTCTCTCTGATGTCATCTCTGATGTCTCTTTGATGTCTCTGATGTCTCTCTGATGTCTCTGATGTCTCCCTGATGTATCTCTGATGTCTCTCTGATGTCCATGATGTCTCCCTGATGTCTCTGATGTCTCTCTGATGTCTCTCTGATGTCTCTTTGATGTCCCTGATGTCTCACTGATGTCTCTCTGATGTCTCTGATGTCTCTCTGATGTCTCTGATGTCTCTCTGATGTCTCTCTGATGTCTCTCTGATGTCTCTGATGTCTTTTCTAGGACACGGGTGTAGGACACGGGTGTAGGACACAGGTCTAGGACATGGGTGTAGGACACGGGTCTAGGACACGGGTTGCCATGGAGACCAGCTCTCTGACGTCTGCTCTTCGTCCTCAGGGGCTCTACATCTTCCTCACCGCGTGTCTGTGCGACCGCATGGTGAGTGTGTGTCTGTCTGTGTGTGTGGTGTGTGTGTGCGTGTGTCAGTGTCTGTGTGTGTGGTGTGTGTCAGTGTGGTGTGTGTATGTGTCTGTGTGTCGTTGTGTGAGTGTGTGTGTGTGTGTGTGTATATGTAGATCCAGGACTGAGTGTGTGTCTCTGTGTCTCAGGTGCGTGATGGACTGAGACGTTACTTCAGTAAGAAATCTGCAGAGAAGGTGAATGTTCAGAAGCTACTGTGATGTCACACTGTGATGTCACACTGTGATGTCACACTGTGATGTCACACTGTGATGTCACACTGTGATGTCACACTGTGATGTCACACTGTGATGTCACACTGTAGAAATATGCCTTTATTTAATGAACTAAAAAAACATACTTCTGTTTAAGCAGGTAACTCTGGTCTCTCTCTCTGGTCTCTCTCTCTGGTCTCTCTCTTGGTCTCTCTCTGGTCTCTCTCTGGTCTCTCTCTGGTCTCTCTCTCTGGTCTCTCTCTGGTCTCTCTCTCTGGTCTCTCTCTGGTCTCTCTCTCTGGTCTCTCTCTCTGGTCTCTCTCTGGTCTCTCTCTGGTCTCTCTCTGGTCTCTCTCTGGTCTCTCTCTCTGGTCTCTCTCTCTGGTCTCTCTGGTCTCTCTCTGGTCTCTCTCTGGTCTCACTGGTCTCTCTCTGGTCTCTCTCTCTCTCTGGTCTCTCTCTGGTCTCTCTCTGGTCTCTCTCTGGTCTCTCTCTCGTCTCTCTCTCTGGTCTCTCTGTGGTCTGTCTCTCTGGTCTCTCTCTCTGGTCTCTCTCTCTGGTCTCTCTCTGGTCTCTCGCTCTGGTCTCTCTCTGGTCACTCTCTCTGGTCACTCTCTCTGGTCTCTCTCTCTGGTCTCTCTCTGGTCTCTCTCTGGTCTCTCTCTCGTCTCTCTCTCTGGTCTCTCTCTGGTCTCTCTCTGGTCTCTCTCTGGTCTCTCTCTGGTCTCTCTCTCTGGTCTCTCTCTCTGGTTTCTCTCTGGTCTCTCTCTGGTCTCTCTCTGGTCTCTCTCTGGTCTCTCTCTGGTCTCTCTCTGGTCTCTCTCTCTGGTTTCTCTCTCTGGTTTCTCTCTGGTCTCTCTCTGGTCTCTCTCTGGTCTCACTGGTCTCCCTCTGGTCTCTCTCTGGTCTCTCTCTGGTCTCTCTCTGGTCTCTCTCTCTGGTCTCTCTCTGGTCTCTCTCTGGTCTCTCTCTGGTCTCTCTCTGGTCTCTCTCTGGTCTCTCTCTCTGGTCTCTCTCTCTGGTCTCTCTCTGGTCTCTCTCTGGTCACTCTCTCTGGTCTCTCTCTGGTCTCTCTCTCTGGTCGCTCTCTGGTCTCTCTCTCTGGTCTCTCGCTCTGGTCTCTCTCTGGTCTCTCTCTCTGGTCTCCCTCTGGTCTCCCTCTGGTCACTCTCTCTGGTCTCTCTCTCTGGTCTCTCTCTGGTCTCTCTCTCTGGTTTCTCTCTGGTCTCTCTCTGGTCTCTCTGTGGTCTGTCTCTCTGGTCAGTCTCTCTGGTCTCTCTCTCTGGTCTCTCTCTGGTATCTCTCTCTGGTTTTCTGGTATCTCTCTCTGGTTTCTCTCTGGTCTCTCTCTGGTCCATGGTCTCGCTCTGGTCTCTAAAGTCTCTGGTGTGTTCCCAGTCCATCAGTTCCAGTGTGAGTCAGTCCAGTCTGAAGAAGAAGTGACCACAGCTGGGGTCGGATGAAGGCTTTGATCTGCACCATCAGAGGAGCTGCACATGGTTTTTCATGACTCGGCAGTTTCCACAAATCATTTTCTTATGAGTCATTGTACTTTTATTGCATGTTGATTACACTCTTACATTATTTGTGTGCATACATCTCTCTGGTCTCTCTCTGGTCTCTGTCTGGTCTCTGTCTGGTCTCTCTCTGGTTTCTCTCTGGTCTCTCTCTCTGGTCTCTCTCTGGTTTCTCTCTGGTCTCTCTCTCTGGTCTCTCTCTGGTTTCTCTCTGGTCTCTGTCTGGTCTCTCTCTGGTCTCTCTCTCTGGTCTCTCTCTCTGGTCTCTGTCTGGTCTCTGTCTGGTCTCTCTCTGGTCTCTCTCTCTGGTTTCTCTCTGGTCTCGCTCTCTGGTCTCTCTCTGGTTTCTCTCTGGTCTCTCTCTCTGGTCTCTCTCTCTGGTCTCTCTCTGGTCTCTCTCTGGTTTCTCTCTGGTCTCTCTCTCTGGTCTCTCTCTGGTTTCTCTCTGGTCTCTGTCTGGTCTCTCTCTGGTCTCTCTCTCTGGTCTCTCTCTCTGGTCTCTCTCTGGTCTCTCTCTGGTTTCTCTCTGGTTTCTCTCTGGTCTCTCTCTCTGGTCTCTCTCTGGTTTCTCTCTGGTCTGTCTCTCTGGTCTCTCTCTGGTTTCTCTCTGGTCTCTCTCTCTGGTCTCTCTCTGGTTTCTCTCTGGTCTCTGTCTGGTCTCTCTCTGGTCTCTCTCTCTGGTCTCTCTCTGGTCTCTCTCTGGTCTCTCTCTGGTTTCTCTCTGGTCTCGCTCTCTGGTCTCTCTCTCTGGTTTCTCTCTGGTCTCTCTCTCTGGTCTCTCTCTGGTCTCTCTCTGGTCTCTCTCTCTGGTCTCTCTCTCTGGTTTCTCTCTGGTCTCTCTCTGGTCTCTCTCTGGTCTCTTTCTCTCTGGTCTTTCTCTGGTCTTTCTCTGGTCTCTCTCTCTGTGGTTTCTCTCTGGTTTCTCTCTGGTCTCTTTCTCTCTCTGGTCTCTCTCTGGTCTCTCTCTGGTCTCTCTCTCTGGTCTCTCTCTGGTCTCTCTCTGGTTTCTCTCTGGTTTCTCTCTGGTCTCTCTTTCTGGTCTCTCTCTCTGGTTTCTCTCTGGTCTCTCTCTCTGGTCTCTCTCTGGTCTCTCTCTGGTTTCTCTCTGGTTTCTCTCTGGTCTCTCTTTCTGGTCTCTCTCTCTGGTTTCTCTCTGGTCTCTCTCTCTGGTCTCTCTCTGGTCTCTCTCTGGTCTCTCTCTGGTTTCTCTCTGGTTTCTCTCTGGTCTCTCTTTCTGGTCTCTCTGGTCTCTTGTGTTAAACTGTGTGAAATAAACAATAATATTAAGAATTGTTGGTTGTTGTTATTCAGACTAAAGTTACAGACCTGAGCTTTAAACATGTGTTATTCAGACTAAAGTTACAGACCTGAGCTTTAAACATGTGTTATTCAGACTAAAGTTACAGACCTGAGCTTTAAACATCTGTTATTTAGACCAAAGTACAATACAATACAATGTATTCTTGTATAGCCCTAGGTCACAACAGAAGTCATCTCAGAGGACTTAACAAAACCATTGAAATCACCAACACAGGTCAGAGAATCAACAGTTAAAACACATGAAGAATATAAAGCACACACAGAAGAAAATGTCCATACATGTTGTAGAATGCTAAAGTGTCCTGATCATCACCAATCCTTTCTGTTGGACACTAACTGTCCAACAAGACCCTCCTGCATCCACAAGGAACAACTCTTAAAAAACCCAGTGGGAAAAAGTGAGAAACCTTGGGGAGAACTAGGGAAACCCACAGGGAGGGAGACCCATATGAGAAAGGGATCCGCTCCTCCGGACGGAAAGGCTAATGATCCAGGACCTAAGCTAGCTACAGAACGTGGACCAGTGGCCGCTGAACGTGGACAGGTCCGGTGCAGGACTGAAGCACTCCCTGGCGGGTCGGGCGGGGCAGTCCGCAGGTGTAGATGGAGGAGGCCAGGCTCAGAGATCCCGTCATCGTACCATGAAACAGACAATGGGACAACGGGTGAATAGCAATGAACAAACTACAGTCAAAATCCTAAAAATGCTAAACAGATAAAGGAGGAGAGGATAGTGCTCAAGTTACCATACTTCTCCAGCAGGGGGCTCCCTATGCAGCTTGACTGACAGTCTGAGGAGTTTAGCCTTCCCTGAGTCTTACCTTCCTAGCCATATGCTAAACTAAAGAGGACTGTTTTAAACCTAGTCTTGAATAAAGAGAGCGTATCTGAAAGGAGGCGAGACAGCAGCAGCCACGGCTAGGCTAGTCTAGGTTACAGCACCAAGATTCATGGATTGCACACCAGGTGTGCCAAACCGATCCAAGCACACCTAATTATATATTATTTATTATACGGCTCCTCACAGCAGCAGTAGAACGCTCCATTGATTTGAATGTAATTTCAAAACGTTCTACCGGTCATTATTTTCTATAACGGACCTCTCAAAACAATAATGACCGCTGCCCATGGCAACGCTCTCTCTGCTTGTCTTTCAAATGCGTGGATAACTCCGCAAGTAGTTCCGGCCACTCCGGAGCTAGCCACGCTCAATCAACACACTTAAATGTTAATCGGAGAATACTTATACATATACATTCTTCACACACGTGCACGGAAATTTTCAGAATTTTTTCATGACAAAAATACTATTTCTCTGCGTCAAAAAGCGATCGTGAAAAACCCGGAAGTAGTTCCGGCCGCTCAATAAACGCAAATGCCAATCAATCAACGCAATGAAATGTTAATCGGAGAGTACATTATACAAATACATTATTAATACAAGTGCACGGAAGTTTTCAGAATTTTCCGTTTACGTTTTCATGACAAAAACACTGATGTAATGCGAGAAAATGCGATCCCGAAAAACCCGGACGTAGATACGGCACATTTTAGGAACATTTGCAGAGGATCGAATTATGGATTTAGGTTAGGTTTATGTTTGGGTCACTCACCGCTGATGTTCAGAATTCTTTGTTCAGTTTTCATGCAGTTCCAGAGAGTTCTAGTTTGGAAGTTGCCAGCCTAACTGTTGCACTAGCATAGCCACGGGAAAACCTTTGGGAACTATTTTATTTTCTGTCATTAAATAAACCTTTCGGCCTTCCTAAAAGTGGACTGAAGTTTATGTTGTGTGTTCTGTTGGTAAAGCCGTATAATAAGCGGGATAACGTATATTACGCAGGTCATTATCGGAAAATAAGTACCTTCAGGGCGCCCCCTCCGCTGCGCGTCGGGGTCCGCTTCGCCCTGTCGGTACTTATTTTCCGATAATGACCTGCGTAATATACGTTATCCCTTACATATCATATACATCACATATACCATACATACCATATATATCATATGTAATACACAACATAGCATAATATATAACATAATATACAACATAACACAATACAAAACATAATACATATATTGTATAATATATAACATAATACAGCATATATATATATATATATAATATATACACCATATATTATATATGACCTAATGATATGCTAAATTAAAGTAGAGTGCTTTAAGCCTGGCCTTGAATGTGGAGACCGTCTCTGCTTCCTTAACATAAATGAAGCTGATTCCACAGTAAAGGAGCTTGGAGCTAAATGCTCTGCCGCCAACAGTGACCTTTGAGACCTTAGGAACCACCAGACGTCTGGCGTTTTGTGAGCGCAACGCTCGACTTGGTTGATACGACACTAACGTGTCTTGGAGATAAGAAGGAGCCAAGCCATTTATGGCTTTATATGTTAAGAGAAGGATTTTAAACTTTATTCTGTACTCCACAGGGAGCCAGTGGAGTGATTTTAACACCGGAGTTATGTGCTCCCTCCTTTTGGTACCTGTTAAGATCCTAGCTGCTGTATTCTGAACGAGCTGGAAGCTCTTCAAAGAGGTTTTAGGGCACGCTGCCAATAAAGCGTTACAGTAGTCAAGTCTTGAGGTGACAAACGCGTGAATACGTTTTTCCGCGTCACTTTTAGGAAGGAAATTCCTAATTTTAGCGATGTTCCGTAAGTGTAAATACGCCGTTTTAGTTGCTTGGCTTATATAAGCCTTGAAGGAGAGTTCTTGGTCAAAAATGACTCCAAGATTCCTCACAGATTCCTAAAGTTACAGACCTGAGCTTTAAACATGTGTTATTTAGACTAAAGTTACAGACCTGAGCTTTAAACATGTGTTATTTAGACTAAAGTTACAGACCTGAGCTTTAAACATGTGTTATTCAGACTAATGTTACAGTCCCCAGCTTTATTCCATGCTCTCAAGATGGCTGCTGTCGCTGTAACCATGACAACACCGCTCACCAAACCGACCAACCAGAGCAGGTGTCAGACACACAGAAGGCTCGGAGAACAGTGAGATGCAGCAGTGTGGACTCAGGTCACTTTGGCTCTTCAAAGACATACTTCCTTTGATAATTGAGCCTATCGTAAATATAATAAACGCATCCATACAAAGTGGCTATGTCCCACAAGCTTTTAAAACCGCAGTAATCAAACCCCGTCTGAAGAAAACAAACCTGGACCCAGAAATACTTACAAACTACAGACCGATCTCAAACCTCACTTTCATATCTAAAATCCTGGAAAAACTTATAGCTGAGCAGCTTTGCTGCCACCTGCAGGAAAATAATATGTTTGAAGTCTTTCAATCAGGATTCAGAGCTCATCATAGACTGAAACGGCACTAGTCAAAGTCACAAATGACTTACTACTAGCTGCTGATAATGGACAAGTGTCAGTGCTGGTCCTACTGGACCTTAGTGCTGCATTTGACACAATAGACCACAGCATTCTACTGCAGAGGCTAGAATGTGATATAGGTCTTAGAGGAACAGCCCTTGGCTGGTTTAAATCCTATTTATCAGATCGGTATCACTTCGTCAACGTAAATCAGAACTCGTCGCCTTATTCTGGAGTAGAATTCGGTGTGCCGCAGGGTTCGGTACTCGGACCGATTCTTTTCACTCTCTACATGCTGCCGTTAGGAAACATTATTAAAAAGCATGGAATTGGAGTCACGTGGACCAGGATGTCTGAAAGAGCGAGGCTCCCGCTAAGTTTCCTCTATGTTTATTTAATTTTATCAACGAGACCTTTATTTCTACCACCAAACTGTGGTTAAGTAATGCTTAAGTATCAATATGTGGGAAAGTGGACTTTTAAAAAGGACTTTTAACTGCTTTCATTTTTGTGATGTGTTTTGTGTGTTTTTATTGTTTTAATGCATGCATTTTATCACTGTTCCCCGGACACTTCCCCTAACCCGCACCTGCTCATCAATCAAGACCTTTTAATTGGGGGCGGGCACTGCAGGACGAGAGGACACAGAGAGAGGAAGAGAGCAGAGAAGAGCCAGTCCAAAGGAGGAGGACACGGGACCGGGCCAAAGGAGGAGGACACGGTACCGGGCCAAAGGAGGAGGATACGGGACCGGGCCGAGGACAAGCACCGCCAGCCAAAGACCACAGGGCACTGAGGCCAGCGGGGAGAGCGGCACCGGTGAGGCGCGTGCGCGCCCGGGCTAGGCCCACAGAGAGACCGGTAAGTGTGGGTGTTCATGTATTTGAGTGTGTGTGTATATGTATGAATGTATGACCATATATGTCTGAAGAAGAAATAGAAAAACAGAACAATAACAGTAAATAAAACTAAAATAATGAGTGCTGCCACCTGCTGTCTCCACAGATCCCAGTGACGGATCCCAGTGACGGATCGATCCCAGTGACGGATCGATCCCAGTGACGGATCCCAGTGACATATCCCAGTGACGGATCCCAGTGATAGATCCCAGTGACGGATCGATCCCAGTGACGGATCCCAGTGACATATCCCAGTGACAGATCCCAGTGACGGATCCCAGTGACGGATCCCAGTGACAGATCCCAGTGACATATCCCAGTGACGGATCCCAGTGACAGATCCCAGTGACGGATCCCAGTGACAGATCCCAGTGACAGATCCCAGTGACATATCCCAGTGACGGATCCCAGTGACGGATCCCAGTGACGGATCCCAGTGACGGATCCCAGTGACGGATCCCAGTGACAGATCCCAGTGACATATCCCAGTGACGGATCCCAGTGACAGATCCCAGTGACGGATCCCAGTGACAGATCCCAGTGACGGATCCCAGTGACATATCCCAGTGACAGATCCCAGTGACGGATCCCAGTGACAGATCCCAGTGACAGATCCCAGTGACGGAACCCAGTGACATATCCCAGTGAAATAACATATCCCAGTGACATATCCCAGTGACAGATCCCAGTGACGGATCCCAGTGACAGATCCCAGTGACGGATCCCAGTGACAGATCCCAGTGACAGATCCCAGTGACGGAACCCAGTGACATATCCCAGTGACATCCCAGTGACATATCCCAGTGACAGATCCCAGTGACGGAACCCAGTGACATATCCCAGTGACATATCCCAGTGACATATCCCAGTGACAGATCCCAGTGACGGATCCCAGTGACGGATCCCAGTGACGGATCCCAGTGACAGATCCCAGTGACAGATCCCAGTGACATATCCCAGTGACAGATCCCAGTGACGGATCCCAGTGACGGATCCCAGTGACAGATCCCAGTGACGGATCCCAGTGACAGATCCCAGTGACAGATCCCAGTGACAGATCCCAGTGACCGATCCCAGTGACGGATCCCAGTGACGGATCCCAGTGACAGATCCCAGTGACGGATCGATCCCAGTGACAGATCCCAGTGACAGATCCCAGTGACGGATCAATCCCAGTGACGGATCCCAGTGACGGATCCCAGTGACGGATCCCAGTGACGGATCCCAGTGACGGATCCCAGTGACGGATCCCAGTGACGGATCCCAGTGACAGATCCCAGTGACATATCCCAGTGACAGATCCCAGTGACGGATCCCAGTGACAGATCCCAGTGACATATCCCAGTGACGGATCCCAGTGACAGATCCCAGTGACGGATCCCAGTGACAGATCCCAGTGACGGATCAATCCCAGTGACGGATCCCAGTGACGGATCCCAGTGACGGATCCCAGTGACGGATCCCAGTGACATATCCCAGTGACGGATCCCAGTGACGGATCCCAGTGACGGATCCCAGTGACGGATCCCAGTGACGGATCCCAGTGACAGATCCCAGTGAGATATCCCAGTGACATATCCCAGTGACAGATCCCAATGACGGATCCCAGTGACATATCCCAGTGACAGATCCCAGTGACGGATCCCAGTGACAGATCCCAGTGACGGATCCCAGTGACATATCCCAGTGACAGATCCCAGTGACGGATCCCAGTGACAGATCCCAGTGACGTATCCCAGTGACAGATCCCAGTGACGGATCCCAGTGACAGATCCCAGTGACGGATCAATCCCAGTGACGGATCCCAGTGACGGATCCCAGTGACAGATCCCAGTGACGGATCCCAGTGACGGATCCCAGTGACATATCCCAGTGACGGATCCCAGTGACGGATCCCAGTGACGGATCCCAGTGACGGATCCCAGTGACAGATCCCAGTGACATATCCCAGTGACAGATCCCAATGACGGATCCCAGTGACATATCCCAGTGACAGATCCCAGTGACAGATCCCAGTGACGGATCCCAGTGACAGATCCCAGTGACGGATCCCAGTGACATATCCCAGTGACAGATCCCAGTGACGGATCCCAGTGACAGATCCCAGTGACGTATCCCAGTGACAGATCCCAGTGACGGATCGATCCCAGTGACAGATCCCAGTGACATATCCCAGTGACGGATCCCAGTGACAGATCCCAGTGACGGATCCCAGTGACAGATCCCAGTGACGGATCAATCCCAGTGACGGATCAATCCCAGTGACGGATCCCAGTGACGGATCCCAGTGACAGATCCCAGTGACGGATCCCAGTGACAGATCCCAGTGACGGATCCCAGTGACGGATCCCAGTGACGGATCCCAGTGACGGATCCCAGTGACGGATCCCAGTGACGGATCCCAGTGACGGATCCCAGTGACGGATCCCAGTGACGGATCCCAGTGACGGATCCCAGTGACAGATCCCAGTGACATATCCCAGTGACGGATCCCAGTGACAGATCCCAGTGACATATCCCAGTGACAGATCCCAGTGACGGAACCCAGTGACATATCCCAGTGACATATCCCAGTGACAGATCCCAGTGACGGATCCCAGTGACGGATCCCAGTGACAGATCCCAGTGACATATCCCAGTGACGGATCCCAGTGACAGATCCCAGTGACGGAACCCAGTGACATATCCCAGTGACAGATCCCAGTGACGGATCCCAGTGACGGATCCCAGTGACATATCCCAGTGACGGATCCCAGTGACGGATCCCAGTGACGGATCCCAGTGACGGATCCCAGTGACGGATCCCAGTGACGGATCCCAGTGACGGATCCCAGTGACGGATCCCAGTGACGGATCCCAGTGACGGATCCCAGTGACGGATCCCAGTGACGGATCCCAGTGACATATCCCAGTGACAGATCCCAGTGACAGATCCCAGTGACGGATCCCAGTGACATATCCCGGTGACAGATCCCAGTGACGGATCCCAGTGACGGATCCCAGTGACAGATCCCAGTGACAGATCCCAGTGACAGATCCCAGTGACAGATCCCAGTGACAGATCCCAGAGACATATCCCAGTGACGGATCCCAGTGACGGATCCCAGTGACGGATCCCAGTGACGGATCCCAGTGACGGATCCCAGTGACGGATCCCAGTGACGGATCCCAGTGACGGATCCCAGTGACGGATCCCAGTGACAGATCCCAGTGACATATCCCAGTGACGGATCCCAGTGACATATCCCAGTGACATATCCCAGTGACAGATCCCAGTGACGGATCCCAGTGACAGATCCCAGTGACATATCCAAGTGACGGATCCCAGTGACGGATCCCAGTGACAGATCCCAGTGACATATCCAAGTGACGGATCCCAGTGACAGATCCCAGTGACAGATCCCAGTGACGGAACCCAGTGACATATCCCAGTGACAGATCCCAGTGACGGATCCCAGTGACGGATCCCAGTGACATATCCCAGTGACAAATCCCAGTGACAGATCCCAGTGACGGATCCCAGTGACAGATCCCAGTGACAGATCCCAGTGACAGATCCCAGTGACAGATCCCAGTGACGGATCCCAGTGACAGATGACGGATCGATCCCAGTGACGGATCCCAGTGACAGATCCCAGTGACGTATTTTGGCTGTGTTTATGTGACCACATATTTATTTGCTTATTTTGTATTATTATTATTATTTGTATTTTTTCATTTATTTATTTATTTTTCAGTGCGTGTCTAGTGCATTAAAAACATGCAAGGTTTTTATTTGTTTATTTTTTCTTAGTCCTGTCACTGTTGGGGTCTCCTGCAGCAATAGCAGGGCCACTTCCTTGTTTAGTCTTGTTCCTTGTGTGTGTTGTGTGTATTGTATGTGTGTATTGTATGTTGTGTGTATTGTATGTGTGTGTTGTGTGTATTGTATGTATGTGTGTGTATGTTGTGTGTATTGTATTGTGTGTGTATTGTATGTTGTGTGTTTGTGTTGTGTGTATTGTATGTGTGTGTTGTGTGTATTGTATGTGTGTATTGTATGTTGTGTGTGTGTTGTTGTATGTATGTGTGTATTGTATGTGTGTGTGTGTATTGTATGTGTGTATTGTATGTTGTGTGTGTGTATTGTGTGTGTGTGTATTGTATGTTGTGTGTATTGTATGTGTGTGTTGTGTGTATTGTATGTTGTGTGTATGTTGTGTGTATTGTATGTGTGTGTATTGTATGTGTGTGTTGTGTGTATTGTATGTGTATGTTGTGTGTATTGTATGTTGTGTGTATTGTATGTGTGTGTATTGTATGTGTGTGTTGTGTGTATTGTATGTGTGTATTGTATGTTGTGTGTGTGTTGTGTGTATTGTATGTGTGTGTTGAGCGTGGCTTATGAATTAAAGTCCAGGGTTCTGTGGGAGCGCTCCAGGGCAGTCACCTCTAGAGCACATGCCTCCCCTCCTGAATGGACTGGTCTAGTAGGTGTGAGTCTGTTGTTGGTTATCATCATTTTTCCAGTTTTGGTAAAAAAGAGCTTTGGTTACTGTGGTGACAGGGTTAGCACAGGCTGTTAAGGCCGCCCTGCGATTTGGACTGTTGTAATGTTGAAAGTTTGATTTTGGTTTTATTTTGTTTCCAGTAAAAAAAAACGTGGCGGGTATGTTTGCGAATAGGTAGTTGAGTTTTGGAAGGATCTTCATTTTTACTGCAGAGATGCGGCCGATGAGAGTGAGTGGGAGGTTTGTCCATCCGTCTAGATCATCTTTTATTTGGTCAAAAACCGGGGTGTAGTTTAGTGGGAACAACTCTGACAGCCTAGGGGAAATGTGGATGCCCAGATACTTCATGTTGCCCTTGTGAATCCCAGGGAAGAGATCCTGAGCTGAAGAGTCCCAAGCCCCATCTGTCAAGGGAAGTATTGTAGATTTGTTCCAGTTTATTGTGTAGTCTGATATGGCTGAAAAAGAGTTTATGATTTTGAATGTATTATTTGAAATATTATTGTTTCAATAATATTTGTGTGTGCGTAACCAGATTTGTGTGAACGTAAAAAGATTTGTGCGTGCGTAACCAGATTTGTGTGTACGTAAAAAGATTTGTGCATGCGTAACCAGATTTGTGTGTGTGTGAAAGAAATATTTGTGCGTGTGTAAATAGATTTGTATGTACGTATCAAGATTTGTGTGTGCGTAAAAAGATTTGTGTGTGCGTAGAAAGATTTGTGTGTGTGTAAAGAAAAAAAAAGGATGTTTTACACACAAGTTTTTTTTTTACACACGAATCTTTTGACGCAGTCCTGCCTTCGCAGATTCGCAAGTGTAACTTGGACTGTGTGCGTGCGTAAACAGATTTGTGTGTGTGTAATTTGACATTTGTATCTGTAACAGAACAATCTGTGTGTAAATAACCACGTTGTACGAAGAGAAGAACGGACAAAAGCCTAAGTGCTACGCACAGGCTCTGTTTTACACACAAATCTCTTTTTGACACACCTCTGCCGCCAAGCGTGTGTCAAAGAGATTCATAAGTGTAATGTGGTTGTTCTAGCAGTACACCAGCAGATGGTGCTGTTGTAGCTGGTTATTACCTACACGCAAACAAACCAAAACCTACTGCCTTGACAAGACACACTACCGCAGCTGTTTATGATATTTTTTTCCTATTTTCAAAATCCTGTCATTCACACCACTGTATGATACATGAATCTATTATAATAACTGGTTTGGGTGTTACTAGCTTGGAGCTGAAGGATTCTCGCGTACTGCAGACTAAATTCACGTGGGCTACACAGAAATTTTCCCCATAGAACTCAAAGTAAACAAAAACAGCTGACAGAGAACCTACAGCTTTCATAAAGGTCGGATTTTGTGGGAATTTTAGTGTCCCTTGTCATCCTGAACTTTTCTTCTTCTTAAATCCTTCGGTTTTCTTTAAATCTACACGTTAGTTAGTGCCACAAACTCAGCTGGTTTGCTTGCATGTATAACCAGCTACAACAGCACCATCTGCTGGTGTACTGCTAGAACAACCACATTACACTTATGAATCTTTTTGACACACGCTTGGCGGCAGAGGTGTGTCAAAAAGAGATTTGTGTGTAAAACAGAGCCTGTGCGTAGCACTTAGGCTTTTGTCCGTTCTTCTCTTCGTACAACGTGGTTATTTACACACAGATTGTTCTGTTACAGATACAAATGTCAAATTACACACACACAAATCTGTTTACGCACGCACACAGTCCAAGTTACACTTGCGAATCTGCGAAGGCAGGACTGCGTCAAAAGATTCGTGTGTAAAAAAAAAAAACTTGTGTGTAAAACATCCTTTTTTTTTCTTTACACACACACAAATCTTTCTACGCACACACAAATCTTTTCACCACCCTGAGGTGGTGAAACCCTAAGGACCACCCTGAGGCCCAAACCGGGGGGGTTCTCTGGAGCGGGGGCCTCCTCCTGCGTGCCCCCCGCAGAAAACGCTTAACCAACGGATGAGAGCGGGCTGTGAACCCCCCGAATCCGTCGTGACCCGAAGTAATGGCTGCCGCAAACACCGCCAAGGTGGCGACAGCCCTCCCCTTGTCAAGAGCTCCTGTAGGAATCCCAGGACCCCCTCCAGCGGGCAACGCCTGGGATCCCAGGAACGAAACCGCACCAGTCGCTGAAGAGCCTCCACCTCGTGGCGTAGGCCCTCACAGTGGACGGCGCCCTCGCCCCCTGAGTGGTCTCCACCACCGCAGGGGGAAGACCCAGGCCTACGAGGTTCCGCCTCTCAGCCTCCAAACCCAGGGCCTGCGGCCGATTATCGGGCGTGAAAACAGGGCTCCTCCCCCCCTGGACTAGAGCCCCCAGCTCGTCCGGGAGGGCCCAGGGCTCCATCACCGCCATGCCCCTCAGGAAGGGGAACCACCGGGCATGCGGACTGTCCGGCGCCACCAGGACCACCGACCTCCTCTCCTGTTCGATCCTCCGCAGCAGGACCGGCAGGAGACGCACTGGTGGGAAAAGCGTACAGCAGGCCGCCTGGCCAGGGGTAATGAGCCGGAGCGGCCCTTGAGGCGAACCAGGACGGGCACTGTGCGTTTCCTGCACTGGCGAAAAGGTCGACCACTGGACGGCCGAACCTCCGCCAGATCTCCGCAGCTACCCATGGGGCCAGGCCCCACTCGTCCTGGAGTGGGCCCCCCCCTGGACATCCTGTCAGCCCCCACGTTCCGGACCCCCGGGACGTGGCGCGCCCTGAGAGACAGGAGGTGAAGCGCCGCCCACAGCAGCGTCACCGTCGCCATGCGATGGAGAGCGGGGGACCTGGTGCCCCCCTGCCTGTTCAGATAGGAGACCACTGTGGTGTTGTCTGAGCGAACCATCACGTGTCTCCCCTGCAGCTGAGGAGCAAAGTGCAGCAGTACCCTGTGCACTGCCTCCATCTCCAGCAGGTTGATGTGACGGGCTGAGTCCGACCAGCAGCCTCCTACAGAGCTCTGGCCGAGGACCCCGCCCCATCCTTCGAGCGACGCGTCCGTGAACACCTCCACGTGAAACACGCCGCAGGGCAGAGTCACTCCGTCCCGCAATAGACCCGGAGTGAGCCAGAACCTGATGTTCGATGCTGCCACTTGGGGAACCCAGATCAGCCTCCCCCCGTCCCGGGAGGGGTGAAGCCTGAGGCGTGAGAACCACCTCTGAAAATTCCTCATGTGGAGAAGGCCTAGCCGCACCACAGCATGAGCCGCCGCCATCATTCCCAGCAGGGACCTGAGGCGCCGAGCGGGGACTCTGGGGCCCACCAGAACCTCCCTGGGCAGACGGGTAATGTTCATCCGTCTGTCCACGGACAATGCAGCACGGAATGTCACAGAGTCTAGCTGCAGGCCGAGATAAATCATGCGCTGAGCCGGTTGCAGCCTGCTTCTACGTCATGGTGCTACGTCCCTTAGCGGACTTCGCTAGTGGGATAACACGTGCACCTATTCGTAGAACTTAAGTTACAATAGGTAACTATTAATTTTCTCCCTGTTCACCACAAAGCCCAGGCGCTGTATGTGGGACAGGACCCAGTGCGTGTGACACTTCCCTGGATGATGCCAGAATTAACCAGTCGTCTAAGTAGGTTAAAATTCTTACCTCTGCGCGTCTGAGCGGCTCCAGTGCCGCTTCCACGCATTGGAAAAGTCCGAGGCGCGAGTGCATAAGTACTCGTAATTCCTCTCTCCCGCTGCGAAGCGCAGAAACCTCCTGTGTTCTGGCACTATGGGCACGTGGAAGT